TGTATCAATAGGTCATGGATCTTTGATGCATGATGACATTCATGAGGAGTGCATTCGTAAGTTCCAAGATCAACGTAGGGGATGTTGTCATGGATTGTCAAATCGATGCGTTCTCCATTCTTCGTAATCATGAAAGGCATTTGACCAGATGGCCATACAAAGGAATATCCTTCTTCCATGCATCGTTTCCCAAGAGACATCACGGACGGAGTGTCGTCCAGTACATAGGCATGAGAGGTCACATCAAAGGTTCCCAGGTCAATCTCTGCTTCTGTCTGAGTAGCAGTTGAACCGTTGGCTGTGTGGAACATGATAGGATCACAAGTTCGCTGCTTCAAGTTCATCCTTTCGGCTTTCCTTGCAGAAATCAGATCATGCCCGCTGCCAGAATCCAGGATGAATCTACGATCTTTGGCTTGCACTGGTAGTGAAATGCACATTATGTTCTTGGACTTCATGAGGGAGTTTCCAACTTCGTGTTCAACAAGCTCTTCAATAAAAGTCAAGTCATCACGATCATTGTCCAGTTTGATCAACATGTCGAACTTGGGGCCAATAATGATTCTAACTTCATCAACAAAACGATGGAGTCCACATCTGTCCATGATGATAGCCTTGGCCCGTGCTCGGACTGAACCGAGGGTGTTGTCGGACTTGGACTGATCGTCGGTCAAATCATCGACTTTCCAGAAAACATATTGCTTGTTGGGGTCACGATACATACGTTTGGGTAGTCCCTCCTGGTAGTCCTCAATGGCGATCTCGTGCATCTCAGGTTCCAGATCAAATGAGATCCTGCGATCATCAGAAGACTTCTTTGCACTGGCTATCCTCGGTGAGGTATAATCCATGGAATCTTCATTGTCGCTATCAAAGAAGGAATCAATGGTAATGGGAGTCGCCTTCTTCTTTGGTGTCTTCTTGCTGGTTCTCTCTGAGGATGCTGAAGGCGATTTATCTGCATGTAGGAATTTACATTTGTTTCCGAACTTGCAGGTACCTTCTTGCCAATTCCAACATACCTTCTTTTTGGGTCCAGCTGAAGATGAACTTCCTCTACCTTTCCCTCTTGATGAATCTCGACTTCCGCTTCTGCCTTTCTTACCTTTCATCTTGGCATCATAGACCTTCTGAGAATGACTGTAAAGACATTTGTCACCTTTGTTGCATCCTCCTTTATTGAAGAAGTAGTTACAGAAAATCTTCTTCTTGTCAACGGGTGAAGATGATCTTCCCTTCCCACCTTTGCCTTTCTTGTTGTTCTTGTCGGCATGGGATTTCGGAGAAGGTGTAGGAAGTACCGATGCAGCTTCACTCTTCGCTTTCGCCTTAGGACGTTTGGGAGGATCACCTGTAGACGATGCAGCCGCTTCATTCTCCTTCTTGGTCTTGACGGGAGCGGCAGGCTTGTCTGCATCTTCTAAGGCAGGTGTCGTCTTGTTAGAGGACAATGACAGTTTCACTGCACGTTCTCTATCTTTCAACAGTCGTTCTTGCTTCCCTCGTGCTATGTATCCCTTGATCATACCAGTTAGGTAAGCATAGGTCTTCTCAGGATGCCCTTCATCAAAGGTTTTGTATCGGTTGATATCGAAGGCCATAAGCTTTGAATGTTCAATCTTCCGGAACAATGTGTCACGCAGGGAATTGTTGGAAGGCAGATCATCATGTTTCATATTGTATACGATGTCAAGCCACTTGTTGTAGAAGGCCTCAAGTTGGTCATCTCCATAGTAGTTGAACATATACAAATGATGGGCATTGTAGAGAACTTCAGTGTGGTCAGGTGACTTGAAGCTAATCAATATCATTGCAAATAGTTCTCGTCCCTTGATGAAGTCCCCACTTCTCCCATACAATTGGTTCTTCATGGACATGTCATACTTCACTTGCATGGACTTGTCCCCAGCATTGTCAATGACTTTCCTCAAGGCATTGGAGAGCTTGGCATCAATGGATTGGAATCTCACATCAGGAGCTTTGGCCAGCGCCTCCAAGTCAGGTTGATCTGCAAGACACGGAGCTAACCACGCCTTCCAATCTTCATAGTTTCGATCTCCACTTGCAACGCAAACTTCATGAACGACACTTCCCTTCCAGGATGAAAGTTCAGTGGTCTTAGGCCAGGGTTGGAGGCTGATCTTTTCGGCTTCTCTTAGAGATACAGATGACTTGGATCTATCCCTTTCAAGGTTCTCCAACTCCTTGACATTTGTGTTGTACTCGTTCCTGAGCTTCTCGAAGGCTTCAGCTTCTGCTCGGTATTCCTGCTCTTCATCATTGGCACGATCTTCAGCTTGAGAGAAATTGTTCTTATAGTAATCTTTACGATCTTCCATCTTCTTCAACTCATCTTGAAGATTTCGAACTTCAGCGTTCCTCTCTTGCTTCATCTCGTCCAACTCTGCTTTCAGTTTGGCACACTTCTCTTCACATTCATTCCGAGGCATGGCATTACTGGGGTACCCATGTAATGTAGTCGGTCTATTCATTGATGAAG